CTCTCTCTCTCCGCTGGAGCTCCTTCTCTCCCTGCTGGTCTTCTGTTGTCTGTTCAGGGAACTCTGTGCCTCGCCTCTATCCCCTCTCACTCTCTTCCATTCACTGTCTTTCCCATGTTTGACTTTGCTCTCTCCCTCTGGAAGGCTCTTGTTGGCGCGCCGCGCAGCGGTGGCAAGCAGTGGCCTTAGTGTCAGTCAGTCACGAAAAATAAAAGTGGCGCGCTTTCCTGCTGGCTCATTACAACTTAGTCTCCGGTGGCCTGCGGTCGCATGAAGACGACACACGCACACACAAACACCACAAACACTGTCTGTCACCGTCAGAGTGACAAGACCTAGAGTGGCCCCTGGGCGATGAGCCGTATACACAGTGCTGTGCTTGTACAGTAGTTGTCTTTCTGTACAGCACACCTTTCACTTGAGCCATACCTACCTTCGTCTTAAACTCATTCGCCTCATTGCCGACTTATCTCTTCACACTATCATCACTAACACTCAACTGTCTCTCTCTCTCTCTTTCTTTAATCTGTCGCATCTACCTGCAATTAGCCACCCACTGGCGTGCACTGCTGTTCCCTGGCTGCCTGTCGCCTAAGAATGTCTTCGCTGTACTTCGACGAAAACTCCGAGTCGCAAGTCACATCGACCACTGACAGTACACTGTCCCATTCGACGAACAGCAGCAGCAACCTCTGCTTCCCCAATCTCACTGGCGGCCACCAGTTGCAGTACATAAACGCTGTTCAGTTGCAATCGAATAACACTAAAATTGAGGTAAGAAAACAGTTTTCAAGTGGGGATTTTATTTGATAATTGAAATTAGCTCACAGAGTTTTGAAAAACGTTATTAGAACTGCTTCAAATCAGCTAATTAAAATTATTTTTGACAGCAGAATAACTACACAAAAATGTCCAACACCGACGGAAGAGTGGTGCTTGGCAATCGAGCCAATGTCTTGCGCAGCATTGAGGCTTGCCCCGTCTTCACGGTGCGAACAGGCACCGTCAAGGGCAGCCAGAAGAAGGTGGTCAATCGCGGTCGCTGGTCAAAGGAGGAGGACGCTGAGCTGAAGAGCCTGGTCGAGGAGATTGAAGGGCTCAGTCGGACTGGCCACATTGACTGGAGTAAGGTGGCTAGTCACTTTCCCGATCGCAATGACGTCCAGTGCCAGCAGCGGTGGTGCAAGGTCCTCAACCCCAGTCTCATCAAAGGTCCTTGGACTCTGGCGGTAAGTAAAAAACTAGTCCTAAGTGATTAAGTTGACCGTATTGTTGTTTTTATTACCTTGACCCCCTAGGAGGATCAAAAGATCATCGAGCTGGTGAACAAGTACGGTCCGAAGAAGTGGACAGTTATTGCGAAGCACCTTGACGGGCGCATTGGCAAGCAGTGTCGCGAGCGATGGCACAATCACCTTAATCCGCACATCATCAAGACTGCCTGGACCAATGAGGAGGAGGAGTTGATCATCACGGCGCACCAGAAGGAGGGCAACTCGTGGGCGAAGATTGCCAAGCTGCTGCCCGGACGGACGGACAATGCCATAAAGAATCACTGGAACTCGACACTGAAGCGGAAGGCAATTGCCCTGGCCGAGGGCGTCCCGCTGTCTGAGTACAAGAAGCGACAACGACGCAAGAAGGAGGGTCAGCAGTCGAGCGGCAGCGGAAGCAGTGGCTCTACTCAGACGGCTGACAAACTGAACCCTCCTCGCTACAGTGCAGATATGCACGACACTTCCTATTTGCTGTACCCAACGAACCAGCAGCAACAGGGCAACTCGGGCTATGCTGACCACCACCATCAGCAGCAACAGCAGCAACATGGCAATCCACTGAATAGCACAGTCAACCATTCACTGGCCGCCACCGACGATGACGAGGATGGCATTGAGAATGATCTGAGCGACCTCTTCAGCTCCAGCCAGGGCGACATCATCAACTGCGAACTGTCGGAAATTCAGGACGTCAATGACCTCGTCTCCTCCATCAAGTCCTCTCCCCTGCGCAATCTAATGGCTCCAGACTACACTGGGGTCGCCACCAGTGGCTATCTTACCGAAGACATTTCCAGCATTAATCAGGATCTCTCTTTTCTCTCCCCCAACAAGAATGAGCCACACAATAAGAAGCCGTTTGTGTTCAGTCCATCTGAGGTGAGTTTTTGTGAAGGTGTAGCATTCATTTATTTGATCATCATCTCATCATGTCTTTCCCTCACCACCAGTTGTACACTGAAACTCCGCCAAAGTTTGCTCGCAACTCTACTCATTACTTTGAAACGCCTTCATCTTCGGAGTTTCACAAGTCAAAGAACAAAGAGGTAACGTGTTTAAAAGAATGAGCCATTGTTTTCCTGATTACTAAAAGAACCTTATTTTTCTGAGCAGAATCACTCCCCTATCAAAGAGTCGCCTATGCGCCAGTACAGAGGCGGCAAAGGACTGTCAAATATAACCAATCAGGATGTCCTTCTCAGCTCTGCATCTTTTGCCGAGTACAGCTCACCGGGAATGCTTTTTCCAGAGCATCAGGAGGGGGAGAAAACGTCTCAGGAAGGTGGTGCTGGCTCTATGATGTCTGACGATTTGTTTGAAACTCCGGTAAATAGTTTTTTAAATCCTTTTTAAAATCTTTTTTCTCATCATCTCTTTTTGCAGAGCAAATCGTTTATTCAGTCCAGCATTTACGATGACCACCTTTCCACGCTTTTCTCTCCGGGCAACTGTCTGGGCTACAGCGTCTCCCCTAAGATGTTCACCTCCCCTTCGGTGTTCCTGAACCCTCCCCAGGCAATCATAAAGGCTGAGCAGTTGAGTGCAGAGAAAAATGGGCCGACTCACCATCGAATCAGTGGCAATTCACAAGTGAAGGTAATGACTCCCCTCAGCTCCATTGGTCTGATGGGACCGCCGGAGAATCCGCCCTTGAAGAGTGGCGAGCAGCAGCAGCAGTTGACCAATCTCGACCCTGCCAATCCGGGTAATCTGGTACTGAGCTCCTTTGAGCATAGTTCGCCCGCAAGCAGTAGCAGTAGTTCGTCGACCAACGGTGGCTACTACTTTGACTATGCTCTCAACTCGCAACCGAACAACACCTTCACCTCCACACCTGTGATAATGTCCAAGTCTCTGCAGTGCCAGAGTCAAGTGAGTGACGGGAAGACGGTAAGTACAGTGCTAGGGGGCTACAGTTCAAGTGCGACCTACTTTCTTGCAGACTTTAGATTTAGCAGTACTGAACTACCGTTTTCAGAGATGTGCATAGACCTGACTCTAACCCAACATCCCCCGAAACTAACTCGAAACTAATTAACGATTCCCTTTTACTCTTTCCATCCTAACTTCCGACTTGACACTTGTTAACACACCACTACCCTTCTTCAATAACCCTTACTCAGCTGTACAAGCAAGTGCCGTGCAGTGTTCGCGATGCTATTGAGCAAAGGCAGTTACCAATGTTAGGTCGTGCTAACGTGCATAGTGTTGGGGTTGACGAGTTGTCCTCTGCTGGCGCCGCTGCTGCCCTTTCTGCTGCTTCTTCTGCTGCTTCTATCACCACGCTCAGTAATGACTATCAGGTGTTGATTGGAGGTGGAAGTGGTGGATGCTGTACGGTGGACACTGCCTCGGCAGCATCTCCCGTCGTGTCCAGCAAGGTGATCACCACCTCTGCCGGCGAGGCCATCCTCCACTACCGGCCCAATATCATTCAGATTGTCAGTAGCAGTGGTGGCAGTAGTAGTGGTAGTGGCAGTAGCAGCAATAGCACTTCGTCGCTGACCACGCAGACCACTGACCCATTCGACTGTAAGTGTGGCCACAACTGTTGATAAGATCAACAAGTATTTTCACCTGCACCATTCGCACCGATTCGCTAGAGAATGATGCACACTTCCCGCACACTGCTTTTGCTTTTTGTTTTTGGTTTCGTTTTTATTTTTTTTGTTTATCTCACTTTGCACTTGCTTTGCTTTGCTTTTCTCCTTTTGCATGTTTTTCTCTAAATTGCTTTCTTTTGCATTTCCTCACAATCCTCACTCATTGAAAATCCCTCCTCCCTTTTCCATTACCTTCAACCCCACCCGGTCAGAAAAATGTGTACTGTTTTGAGCATGGGCCCAGCAAGACAAAGTCAGTCAACCCTTCTCCCTCAACACTATGTTCGTTATGCCATATGCAGAGAGTGTTCTCAGTGTCTGTGTGCAGGTTTTACTAGGGCAGCAGAAGTAGCTCCATTTCCGTCTGTTGGGTTCAGTTCAAAACCGTTCACAGTTTTTCTGCCTCTTCACCCCCAGGCATGTTAGCGTGTAACTCTCTC